ATAAGTCTTTCCTTTCATGACTTCACCTGCACAGAAGTGTGTGAACAATAGCTGCATAACATAAAGACCATTTTGATAGAAACATGCCTCACTTGTGAAAAGAATACAGGGAAGAGACCCAGGTCAATCCAAGAGAAAGGACTAAGCGTGGACTTGTACCCAATTGAAATTCACATTTGAACTGAGACAAAGGAAGAAATAGAAATGATATATATGGGGAACAGAAAAAAATGCACACTCCAAAGAGGAAAACCACAGCATGCTTTTATCCCGGAGGCACCATGAGAATTCTACTGTGCTTCCAAGGAAGTTTTTGACACTTGGCAAATCCAGTCCATCTCAACGAGTGCTAATGAAGAATTGGAAAGTGTATCGGTCAAAACCAGCCTAGAGGCTATGTTCCACCGGTTCCATTTTGAGCCATACATTCATGAATATCAACTCAGATGTAAATCATTTATGCAATATACAAAATGTGAGCTTCCAAGGAGGGAAATATCGTGTCTCAAGAAGAACCAAATTCAGTTATCAGAAAAGTGCATTGCTAGCACTGTAAATCAAAGTCCTCCAGCAAAGAGGAGAGATATTCTGTCATAAATATGTCCTCCAGTTTAAAATGCCTACTATGCAGTATTTAGTTAGGCTAAAATATTAAACTAGAACACATGCCTTATAGAAAAATATTACAGCTGTGTTGACAACAGCTCAAAATAGAAACATAGGGAAACATTTTTAGTATAAGACTAAATTTAAAACAAACCAATTTCAGAAAGGACTTACAGTGAACATTTCCATTTTCAAAGATTTTTTAAAAATTTCTTTGGCATGTATGACTTTGAGTTGATTCATTACTCGAAAACAATCCATGTGAATGACTGTGTCAAACTCAATTTCCTGAGGCCTAGTCATGATGTATGTATTTGACTTTAAATTCTTACTAATGACTGGACTGAAGCCTGTTTTGATTCAAAATTTTTTTTCCAAGTCTGACATTCACATGAAGTTAATCTCTAGAGGAACACTTTAATTTTATATAGCTTTGCATAGGCACACATGTCTAAAATAGACATGTTTTCACAAATGAAAAATAAAGGCAGTAACTGAAATTTGAGCAATGTTAATTTTGGTTTAGTCTCAAAACTAAAAAACGAGTCAGTGCTGGAGGACATATAAAACACAGTCTATTGTTAGAAAACTGCACTTCCTAGATAAACAAATAATCTCTCTCTCTCTCTGTCTCTGTCTCTCTCTCTCTCTCTCTCTCTCTCTCTCTCTCTCTCTCTCTCTCTCTCTCATTTTCTTTTGTCTTGAGACAGGGTGTTGTTGTCTTCCCTAGGTTGTTCTTCAGCTTCTGGGCTGGAACATCACCCTGCAAGACTCCTGAGACACGGAGTTATAGGCTGGTGTTCCCTTGACTGCCTCTCTCCTTTCATTTAAGAACATGAAGTGCTTCACCAACTAAGTATTTTGCAACTCAATGAGCTAAACAATGAGAATTTAACTAGAGAAATCACTTAATTTGACTTCTGTAACAATTATTTTTCCCTCCTACATTTAGGCAGAATTTACAGTTTTGAACACTATGATATATACTACATATCATAGTATGTTAGAAATAATGTAATTAAATAACAAAAATAACCACAATAATCAAGCAAAATGCTTGAAATTTTGGAGGATATATTAAGTGAATTCCATTGTTTGACATAAATATTTTATTTTATTTTTATGTATATGGTACAGGGTCTCACTACATCTCGTACTTGTAGTGAGCCTCCAGTTTTCAGCCTCACAAGTGCTGGGATTACAGAGCCACCAGGCCCATTCTCTATGGCTGGTTCAGTGCACCCAGGAGTGGGGCTGACACAGCATATGGTGCCGGGGATCGAACCCCTGTCCCAGCACTTGTCTAAGCTAGTGCTCAGTCCCCTGGGCTATATCGCCCACAATAGAATCAGTCTTGACCATTACAATATGGATATTGACATAACTATCATGACTCATTTGGTCTTCCAGTTTTGCTGATTCTATATTCTAAATCCCCTTACATGTATAATATTTAAATGGCCAAAAAACGTTTGTTCTTAATTTTCTTAAACATCTGCAGGAACATCATTCCTGTAATCTCCTAAAATGGATCACTTCCTTTTTGTGTGTGTGTGTGTGTGGTACTGGGAATTTAACTCAAGACCTTGTGCTTGCCAGGCAAATGCTTATTGTACTGAGCTGTCTCCCCAGCCCTCACTTATACTTCAATCACAATGATGGCTTATTGAAGTAGTCCTTCTTAAAAATAATTTTCTGTTTAGAGTAAAAAAATAATTCATGTATTTAACTGTAATTAAATTAACCCACCCTCATATAAATGTTTTTTCTTGTTAAATATGCATATATGTATTATAAAATTATAGATATTTATTACTGAATTTACTTTTTCTATGAATTTTTATAAGTATGAGACTTTTGTAAAATACACAGATCTTTTAATAAATATGAACTGTGAAAAGTATATTCTTGGATTGTGTAGTTCAATTATCATAAATTTGAAAAGTAAACAAACTAGACACATGTATAAATTATATATACATTCTAATCTCCATGTATATATGGTCTTTGTCTATATATGACATATATGTGTATATATGCACACACATACATATACACACAGAAA